CTAACTTCTGTATTGTTAGCCAGGCATGGCTGAAAGGTCAATATAATAAAAATAATAAATATAAATGTATAATGCTATGAGATTTAAGCTATTTAGTCTAAACATTTATGTTGTTATAATCTGTGTTCATTCTAGAATGAAAGAGGTATAATTTATATTTATTTCCTAATTTTTTATGGTGGTTGAGAGATTGGTCAAATCTACGGAACCCGTACAGAAAATAACAAATAAAATATAAAGTTTTTTCTTAAGAAACGTTTGATAACTATCTGGACATTATAAAGATTTCATATGTGAAATATGAAAATTTTCTGATGCATAAAAGTATTTTTTATCTTAAAATGAATATTATTTTGCATGATAGATAGGCAGTGTGTGTGAAAAAAAAAAAAAAAAGATATGAGAAAAACATTCCTTTACAAGCCTCAAAACATAATAAAAAAATTAGGTACTCTGTGTATGAAAGCATTGTAATGGTTAGTGATAATCTGCCAAATTTCGTTAGCATTCGCTTACAAATGAAAACTATAACAAGCACAAAATGGTTACAAAGTCAGTCCCAGGGACAGAGCCTGTGCTGAAAGAGTTAAGCAATTTAGGATAAACAAATGTAGTTTTCTGTCACAATCTGCTGTCATTCTAGAAGCAAGAAAAGGATAATTTAATTTTTTTTCTTTAAAGGTGATTACAAAGTCAGTGAAATTGGCCAAGACTGTAAAACGTTAGAGGGTCAAGAAAATAACATATAAAACACAAAGTTTAACTGAAAAAGAAAAATGTTTAACATTTACTTATGAGTTTTGCAAATGAAATTTGATAATTTTCAGATGAAAAAAAGTCATTTTATTCTTAACCCTCTTTCCACAGGCATATTTTTTGCATGTCACAAAGTTTTAGAGAGCTATATATTCAAAATTTAATTAAACCACTTTCTTATCATAGTATACCAATAAGTATAACATAAAAACATAGTTAATAATCCATATTTTACTTTTTTAAGGAAATATTTTTAAAAAATCCAGAATCCCTAATATGAGAATTATAACATTTTTTTCTCTAGACATCCCCTCTTCTGTAATCTATTTACCACCACTCCAAGAAGTATGAAACTTAACATAAATTACTCATTACAATGTTGTCATCACTCAGGCAAAGCATAATTTACATAGCTTTGAAAAATTATTTAGTTACATAGCAATAAAATAGAAAATCAGACGCCTTTTGCCATGCCCACCTGTCACATCCTTTCTTTCAGAAATTGCCAATAGTTCAACACTATATTATTTATAACCAAAGGCAAGGTTTTCATCTACTCAATGACATATTGTATTAGATTGTTTTCTGTACAGAGAATTGTCAATTTTGCTTCCAGTTCTAGCTTCATTCCCACAGGAAACTCATTGATGAGCTTAGCTAAATTTTTAACGTCTATTGCCCAGTTTTTGATCTATCTATTATATTACGTTGTTTTGTGTAGAGGGTATTGTGTATTTCATCATTCAGTTTCATATTTGTAATGACAGGTATGCATTGATAAGCTTAGCTGAATTTGTACTGCTCTCATTGCATAGTTAGAAAGCCAGAAAAATTGTGATAGTTATGGGACATTTTCTGCTTTTTGCATGTTATTATTCTGTGTTCTTTGGTGCATCATTTAATTAAATTAAAAATTATTTAATGCAGTACTACCATTAGCATAAAAAAGTAGGGTTTAAGTGTCATCAACAGTCAACAGCAAAAGTACTATATTTCTTGTTTTTCATGTGTATTCTATATTATTATTATAAAAATAACTAAGACGTATAAATAAGAAACTTTTTAGGTTAGTTAAGGTTACATTAGTTAAAATAAATAATAATAATATAATAATTTTTCATGAATAGCTCTTGCATTATGTAATTTGATAGCACATTTGCCAAGTGATTTACAACTTATAATTGCATGAATAGTAGTTAGGAACAGTGCAAAGGGTAATACAACAATAAAGTTTAAGTACAAATAGATGTATACTGTTACGAGCTTAAAGCTATTTAGGATAAACAAATATAGTTTCATGCTACAATTTGAAGTCATTCTAGAAAGAAAAAATGGTAATTTAGATTTATTTTGGTGGTTATGAGGATGGTTAAATTGGCCAACCTTGTATAGTTAGAATAGAGAAAATAACAGATAATACATAAAGTTTTATTGGGAAAATTTTTCAAAATTTCTTTAACCCTATTGATGCTATAATCAGATTTATCCGACTTGACATTTATAGCCATTTGGTGAGACAGGCAGATTTAACTAAAGGTGTCACAAAAACTTTTCCTCATAATGTGACAATGGGGACATTCACACGTCCTTGACTTTCCGACATTAGTACTTCATGTATGTACACTGAAAAAGTACTAAAAAAAGGTCAAATTCTAAGTTTCATTTGTTAGTGGACAATTGACACTTTTTAGGAACCCACCAAAACTTTAATTATGCACTTAAATAGTTAAGATGTTTTAAGAAATTACACAATTGAAATTTCAGATTTTTGAGAAGAAAAGTATTTTTAGTCTTGAAGTGGAAATAACTTTGCACTCAGACTAGTAAAAAAAAAAGACTATATATATTACATTCACGGACAAATCTTTGGTAAAAATACTTCATTAAAACCTCTTATTTTTTTTGTAAACAAAAGACTTGTAATATTTAATAAAAGTCTGTCAAATTTTATGAAGATAGAGATACTGTATTAAACGTTTTAATATGGAAACTATAACAAGTAGAAATGGTTGCAAGGTCAGTCAATTTGACCAACCTCGTAATGAGAGAGTTAGCACATATCATATTAAAAGTTATAGTATGGATACTGTTATGATCACTTGGTGGTTACAAAGTCAACAGAATCCACCAACCCTATATGTAAAGAGTTAATAAATAGTGTACTTGTGATTTAAAAGTATTTTTCACGAAAGCTGCTGAAAAAGTGGTTTTTATCAAAATGACAAAACTGAATATACAGTATTTTGTATCTAAGTTCTTCATATGTATATACATTTCAAAAAGATAAGTAAAAACAAAATCATAATAATTATATTCTACTTTGTTTGTGTTTTGTGCTATGGGAAAGGGCAAGTACATTTTTAGAAGGATGAGCAGATTTTTTCTAGCATTTTGACCCCTGGACAATAAAACATTTTTTTTGAAAATTCAACAACCCTGTCCATCATGTCATTCCCTCACAAACAACATCTGTTAGGCAGGGATTCATCTTCCAGCAAGACAGTGATCCAAAGCATGCAGCAAATGTGGTGAAAAGACACCTGGAAGGAAAAAGAGGCTCATGAAACTCTTGCAACCATAATTTGGTCTGCATAAAGCCCTGATATGAATATTATTAAGGCTGTAAAGGTCAAATGGCAACCAAACAACATGGCTGAAGTGTAGGGAGTATTACAGGGCATTTGAACAATACTTCAAAATCATAGACCACTAAACTCATGGTAGCATAAAAACCAGGCGTATTGTTCTGTTTAAAGCAAATACAAAATTCTAGTGTACTGTACAACTTATTTGCTTTATTTTTGCATTTTCTATAATAGCATAATCATCTAATGGCACATTGATCACTTATTTGCAGTTATTCATTGTCTGTAACTCCGGTACATGTATCACCTGTGTGTTTCCATAATTTTTTCCAATACTGTATATCATAGTTAGCCTTCAAATTTCATATCACTAAGCTTATCTCCTTAGTATGAAAAACTCAAAAGTCCTGGATAAATTGAATAAAAACTGCTTCTGCCACAAGTGATATAGCATTGAATTATTTCATATTTTAGTTTAATGCTGTCTTATGGACATTTGAAAATTTTCTAATTGTATTGAAACAAAAGCATTTAAACATTTCTTAGTAAGATCCTGAAATTCACTTGACCTAATTCCCTTGCTCTCTGTCTTTACCTGGGAGTGTTTTAGGAAAGCATTGTTCTAATTATGATTCTGGCCACTGTATTTTTAGTAAACCACAATTATTATGTTGTAACTGTATAACATGCCTCCTCTATTTGTGGTATGTGTGACAGAGGCTTCACAAAATGCTTACCTTTCTTATGCTCACTTCTTTAATCCAGTCTTTTACTAGCTTGTTGATTTTCCCTAGCACTTCCATTCTATAAAACAAGATTCAAAGTGTTTAACATCCAACTGTGACAAGGATACAATTTCCATACACACAGTATTCACTTCAGTGAATTTAATCTATTTATATAAAATCCTCTTTTAAAAATCAATAAAATTTCTAATCTGATTTTGAAGATTAGCAGCAAGATATGAAAATCAATACATACATTTTAGGGATATTACAAATTCTCTACAAATGTAAACACCACATATTTTGAAAACATATGACACAAAAGCATACAATAAACTATTTTCGCAAATATTTGATTAGAATTTATAGGAATTGGCATGCATTTAAACCTCATACTAAAACTATTGCCATTTAATACACTGAAAAAATAAATCTTTGTCTAAAATCACCAAATCATTGTGCTTTTATCTTCATTATGCCACTATTTACAGGACACAACAATATAAAAAGTTATCCAAATTAATTGGTGCATTTTTACCATGAATACTTTCACATTAGAAATAACAATTAAAAAAATTAGCGAGAATCAATAATATGTCATGCTTATGTCCTAGATAACACCCTGCCTAATCTATAGGACAAAGTTAATAATGTACTGTTTATATCTTGGACACACCTTTTCTAATCAACAAATTAGAGCTATAGCCACTGATGAACTGTGTTTATATATTGGTTATCTCCTTGCCTAACCTATATGACCACAATCTAGAGCTACAGTCAATGATGTACTGTAACTCCTTGCTTAATCTATGTGACAACAACATAAAGCCAGAGTGTTGAAGTAATTTGCTTATATCTTGGATAACTCCCTGCCTAATCTATAGGACCAGAATCTGGAACTATAGTCGCAGATGTACTGTTTCCTGTATAATACGTTATCCAATCTACATTATCACAATCTAGAGTTATAGTCACTGATTTACTGTAAATATCCTGTCTAATACCCTGCTTAATGTAAATCACAGAGGCAGACTAAAACTCACAGAAAATGCTTTAATTTTGGATGGGCCTTTATTCATGTTTGTCAAAAATTTAAAGATGTTAAATCTTGTTCTTTTGTAAGTGCTTCATTATGAGTCTGTTGCTTCAGAATGTGTTATTTTGCTACAAAACCCAAGGTGATTGTTGAGTTAGCACTAGTGTTGAATGTGAGCAATAAAATAAACCATAGAAAGTTTCAAAGTTTACTTTTTTTTTAATCAAAATTATGTTTAATTTGTAACAAAGAATTTGCCTGACTAAGCAGTTTGTGTTAGAAGCTAGCATTCTTCAGATATTTTGGTCAGAAGTTATGTTCCTCACCTTCAAATGGAAAAAAGCTAACAAAAACTATGCTAGAGTGAATAAAAGTATTGATAACCTGTGGGTTAGTTCTTCATCTGTCTCATAAAGTCCATATTGTTTTAAGCATTCTTCAAGTTCTTTTGTTCGTTGAATGTCAATTGGTTTGGGACTTGCAGTATTTATAGGGGATGTAACACCAAGCATTTTTGTCATGGAGTCATTCTGTTGCTTCTGCTGGTGTAAATCTGGTGAAAACAGACTCTTCCCTATGCACGAACTAACAGATGAGCTAAATAAAGGAAAAGAAGCAAAGAAATACAAATGCTAAACTCATTAAAAACAAGCACATAAGCTTGAATTTTTTTTTAAAGAGATGAAAATTCCTTAACTATTTGATTTTCATTGTTTCTCTTACCTGAAGATATTTAATGGCAAAAAAAGGCATGTCTGCTGGGTTTACTTAACTGAAAAATTGAGTGACAAAAGCTATTATGCCTATTACAAGATTCAGAAAAAATGCTAACCTAAGAAAAGTCTTTAACTCTAGCAAATAATACCTACAGTATATTGTAGACACTGAAGAAAAAAGAGAGCAAACTTCAAGGTACTAAGGGATTAATATAATTTTTTTTTTCATCTTAGCAACAAACAAATTTAGTATACCATATGTTTTAGACTTGTATGTTATATGAATTTGAAGTTCATCTTATCTAATTAATCTTAGGGCTAGTATTATAAAAGTTCATTGTAATTTAGAAAACAAAATGGGAAAAGTGTCCAATATCTTAGTTCTTTCAATATAGGCTTGGACATTTTAACCAACATTGTAACCATAATGATATCAATACTATAATTTTTTATGTGTAGGTGTACCTTCAGAAAATTTGGCACACTCTGAATAAAAATTACAAGTCTTTTTGTACACAAAAGTCAATTTTTTTAATGAAATACTTTAACTAAAGATTTTTCTGTGAGTATATGGAATCATAGTAAGACTAATCCAAGTACAAGATGATTTTCATGCTAAGATTAAAGATACTTACAGTTTTCAAATTTCATTCTCATAACCTGTAAAACCTAAATAAATATCAAATGTATTTTCCAGTAAAACTTTATATATTATCTGTTATTGTCTATACCCTAACTATATGCATTCAGTCAATTTGGCTGACCTTGTAACTATCACAAAAAATACAAAATAAATATTCGATGACGAGGAACCCACTTTGAGACTAATAATGGTTAAAGACGACAAAATAAATTACTCTTTGTTACTAGAATGACTGCAGATTGTGAGAGAAAACTACAATTATTTATTGTATATAGCTTAAGGCTCGTAACAGTCTATATCTGTTTCTATGTAATTTTATTGTTTTACTTTACTTTATTGTCTTGTCGAATGTGGTATTACTATATCCATTATTGATGAATGTTTGTCAGAGTGTACGAATTCAAA